TATTTCTTGGGTCAGGATTCCACTTTTCTATTGTAAAAATGTTAAACGGATTAATTTGTGTTTTCTGGTCTTTATATAAAATAGTTTTAAAATAAATCCACAAATTTAAAATATGTTTTTATGTAATTGACTTTTACATAGACGTCACAAAAATTATTAATTTTCACATACAATCCAAGAGCTCTAAACACTTGCTCCTATACCTCGTATTTTCATTTGTCGCTCTATCATTAAAGTGAATCATCAAGTTTTCACATTTCACAAAGACATTACAAAGGGATGTCTCCTCCATGCCGAGAGAGGGTGTGCATCGGCGGATATCAGGTCCTTTCCACTGCAATCACCTCTCACCTTGACCACAGCCTGGTGCAGCAGCCAGATGTCTGGATGTTAATACCGTCGGAGGAATTCACAGAGCTGGTGACCATGCAGGTGGAATAAACGGCCGGAATAAACAAATAAATACGGTGGAGACAAGGGGGCTGTGGATGAAGATAACGGCGCGACGCGACACCCATCAACGTGATTTACAGTTTGGTCGGCATTGGTGGTGTTTATGGCACTTTAATAACCAGCCATAAAGAAGTGGGGTGGGGGGGGTCTGGTGTTGCAGGAGAACGACAGTGAAGGCACTGGTCGAGAAACAAAGGGAGAGGAGTGTGTCGAAGAGAGAGAGAGGGGTAGATAAAGCCGAAGTCTTGATCATGAGCTCTGCACTGCCTTACGACTCGCTGTCAGCTCGGCCGAGTCCCAGCAGACAAGCTTTGGACTGGGAACACCAGCAGCTGGCTGTGCGACGACTGTCGTCTCCACGGGGTCTCGACCTGCTCTCCCCACCTCCTCTGCCTCGTCGACCTTCTGCAATCCCTGGCTACCTGCTGTCCACTTACCAAGAGCAGGAGGAGCAGCTCCACCAGCAGCAGCAGCGACTGTCCTTGTCTATGTGCTCGGACGGCTCGCTGGCGATCCCTGACCCTCAGCCTACGGGCGCTGCTTCACCTTGCTGCCGCCCGGTGGGAGTCATGCACCTCCTGCGTCTGGGTCTCCTGGCCTTCAGCTGCCTCTTCTGGGCAGCTGGCTTGGCCATCTTCACCCTGGGTGTGTGGGCACAGATCTCACTGGCAGACTACATGCTACTGTCGGCCAATCACTACCCCAACGCCCCGCTCATCCTTCTGTTCACAGGGGCAGCCGTCACCACCTGGGGCTTCCTGGGCTGTCTAGGGGTGGCTGCAAACCTGCCCTGCGTGCTCAGGGCGTACGGGTTCTTTCAACTTACTGCACTAATAGCCGCTTTGGCAGCTGGACTCTCAGGTCTCTTCTATCGAGAAGACATTGCCGGAGGATTTCGCAGTGGCTTACATCGAGCGGTGGCCGGCTATACCAAGGATGAAGGCCGTGCCGATGCATTAGACAGCCTGCAGAGGGCCCTGAAGTGTTGTGGAGCTGAGGGTTGGCATGACTGGCTCTCTTCGGATTGGGCCATCCAGCATATGACCTTTCTGCCCAACGAGAACGGAACCTTGGTGTCCCTGCCGGACAGCTGCTGCATGAGTCGCAAGGGCTGCAAGAATCGACCCCTTTTGTTCGATGATGTTGAAGGAGTAGAAGCTGCAGGAATCCATCAACACGGCTGCTTCCGCAAAGTCTTCAGCTTGGTCAACGACAACGTCTTCCACATTGCCGCCACTGTGTTGGGATTGGCCTTCACCCAGATCGGAGGCATTGCCCTGGCTTGTCTACTGGCTAACAAAATGGCACCAAGGCAACACCGACGTGTTGTCGCACATTAATGGTCAATTAAAAATAATTATGCAACTTAAACCAAGGATTGAACACGTTGTAAATATGTATGATAGGGGATTTACAATGCCCTTAAAGAGTAAGAGTTGCAAAGTGTAGGAAGTTATTTTCGGCGCTCATGTTAACAGGATAACAAGTCTTGTTCATTTTCTGCATAGACCATGTTGGGTGTCTAAATCAACTACAACTCCTTTTGGGCCTTTCAAAAAGGAACATCAAATTACAGAGCTTTGGGTTTTGTTTTAGTGGCATCGCTAACAGCAAGCTTAAGCAAAATGTGTAGAACTCTGATCATGATATCTAGCTGCATTGTGTTGAAAGGTGCTATATAAATAAACCTGCCTTGCCTTGCATTGGCTCTGGCATGCACTCAACGGAGTCTCCCACAAGCTGCTAGCCTTACCGCTGTGAGCAGTAAAAATAGCAATATTTGTAGTTTATGCTCACTATGAAATGTTTACATTCATACTTGTATTTTTTGGGGGAGAGGCTTTAGAGGGAGGCCTGAAGTGGCTTTTGCGATAGTTAAACAACTTTCAGAGCTTGTGCTGCTAGTTACTTTCATTGGAAAATGGCTATCAATACTGGGCTTGTTTTTTTTGGTTGAATGCTCCAAAATCTGCTCCAACACTCATAGTTGTAAGGATGTTATTAAAAGAACATGGGAATGTAATCGTAAATAAAACATCAGGACACAGCATCTACTTACACTTTTCAACTCTTTTGCACTCAGTGTTTGCCTGATCAGCACAATTTAAAAAAGGGGTGAGGGTTGTGTCCATTTGATACCTGCAAATGAGAAGTCTAACATCACAAATAGGGTTGGGAAATCAATAAGCTTAAGTTTTTACATTTCAAAGCAGTACAACATGACTTTGCCCTCTGATTTGGTTCAGAAGTGTTCAAATATTGGCATGGATTATGCGTTATTGTATAGAATGTAAAAATGAAGGGTTAAACTATTCTATTTTTAGGAGATCCTGGGATCTACTACATCTTGCCACCAAATGCACAGGAATGTTCACCAGCAGTTTTCCATCTCAGATCATTTAGTCTGTCTGTTTTAAACAGATATTGTTATCTGCATCATTTAGTGTTCCCATCACAAAAACTACAATGTGTAAAATGGTGCTTTATAAAATAGCTTAATAATATATTGCTGTCTGTAGTGTTTTGCACTGTCTATACATCTGACACTGTGTAATGGTGAGGTGCTTTCGTAAGATAACAACTGCTTCAAAATAATTCCCTGTAGATGTACTTGTTTGCTTATTCAGAAATAACTCACGTTTTTTTATTCGGAAGCACAAAATAACTGTATATTGTGAATAACATATATAACATTAAATGCTCAACTACATTGGCATGACACAGATGTTGTGCAACCCACTAGCTTAGTAGCATGAAACTCATCTTTAATATTAAACTCAAGTTGAATGAAATACATTTATATTTAAACCTTTATTAAGAAGCTCATGATAGCAGCCAGTTAGCCTTAGCATTACATAAAGCCTAGCTAGTTAATGCACTAGTTAAGTGACAGATATATAGGCCAAATGTGTAATAAGGGGCTTTTAAGGGGTTAAGAGGTGGATTGTGTTATAATTAGACAGAGCCAGGCTAGCTGTTTCGACCAGTTTATAGTCTTTTAGCTATGCTAAGCTAACTGTCTGTAGCTTCACATCTAGCCATGGCTGCCATGTCTCACATTGGGGCCATTATTATCAGATCTCTCCTATTCAGGACAGTTTTTGATTTCTCTTGCATTGTAATGTATGATACACCTATTATTTGGTCAGTAGCTATAATGTATATTAATCACCAAGAGTGCAAACAAGGATGACTGAAACTATATGTCACCAACAAAAAAGAATCTTTACTATCACAGATATGATATCGATTTGACCAGGGATGGGAATGTCAAGGTAAATGCCCTTGAACATAGTAAATATATAAATAGCAATGGTATTATGTAATGATACATTTATGTATGTCAGTATGCAGACAATATACGGTATTAGTAAAGCCACATAAAGTATGTCATGTCTAATAAACCTCTTGTGAATCACTGAAGAGCACTTTTTGGGTTTTAATGCACATTTGTTCCTCTTAAAAGTGCAAAAGAAATGAAATCCCTCATTGTGACAGATGGCAGATTTGAACCGCCAATTGGCCTTTTAAAGACCTGAGTAAGGCTGTGCTGGGATTGTGCCAAGGTGGTAAATTCTCTGCGCTGGGAGTGGTCGATCCTCAATGAGACCTCTGGACGGGCAATTCTGAATTATGGCCAACTGAACGACATCTCATTTATACCACCTGAGACATGGGTGATTAGATCCGACCTTGAAGGGAGACAACAGATACAGACGCACTGCTGAGCGTGACAAAACACAACAGCGTGACCTAACATTGATTTGTTTATGGGCCTAAAACCATCAACAATGCATAGCTACTGTAGATAATTATAATTCATCATAAAGATGACTTTAAAGCCAACATATATCCACTCTGGGTTGTGGCCTCCATATAATTACTTTTTCATGACCCTATTCTGGTATTGATTAGCCTACATTGTGCTCTAACAAGGCTTGTGGGTATATTCTGTCTGATTACACTGCCCTTGTTTAACCGAATTAGCCTGAGGTTCTCCACCAGCAGTGTCATCACATTATGTAGGAGATCTGAAATATGTTGGAACGACAACTTAAGTCAGGGAAACCACAAAGGGCTTTATGCTCCCAAGCCAAAACATTTTGGGTTGGGCGCTTTAACTTGACTTTACTTAAATTCTATCAAAACAAATGATCACCAGAAGGGACCAAAAGTTGAACAGTGGTGCAAATGATTGTCAGTCACCATCAGATCTCCACAGCTCCAATTCATGTCATTAAAGCCTCATGAATCTGTATTCTTGGTTTTGCTGGTATCACTTTGAGGAAATAAAAAATCTAAACCGTAGCCTGGATAAATGTCCTATAGCTCGGGGATTTAGCTTGGATATATGTAATTTGCCCTTAAACTGTTTTAATTGTATTCCGTTACTTACATGTTTTAAGGAGTGGGTTGGAAGAACGGTATCCAGACAATATTGGGAAGAATGTAAACCAAACCTTTTTTTATATTATTGTACACAGAGTAAAGTATAGACCTTTATCTCTTCTCTCCGCCTCTTTAAGTGTGGCCTACATCTGAATCCTCTCGGTGCTTTGCAGTTTGCACAGCAGCCTGTACTCTGCCCCACATTATATTTGGCAATTCTCTCCACCACTCGCTGGACCGTCGCTGCGTAAAAGCCACCGCGCTGTGCTTGGAAATGCATTTGTTTTTGCGCACAGAGACCTCTCCAAAATGGACTTAAAAACCGAACTCCTCAAGTCTATCTGGTACGCTTTCACATCGCTGGACGTCGAAAAATGCGGCAAAGTGTCCAAATCGCAGTTAAAGGTAAGCAGGAATGTATGCAGGCAATTTAAGATAAGGAAACTGAGAGCGAGGTCCGTCCACTGGACACAAAAACTGACTTTAACTGTGATACTTTTTCCATTCAAATAACTTTTTGTGGCTGAAAACAAGCCAAAACTCAACCATATCTATCGTTGTATTTGCATCAAGTGAAATACTTACTTGTACTGGGTGAATAAACATTGTAATCTGAGAACAGTTTCAACATAAACGCCCTTCAAGCTCACATACGAGTTCAAATATTAGACAAAGATTAGCTTTTTTTCTAAATTGCACATAACCTGATCAAACTGAAGGAGAAGCATGTGCCCAGTTTCAAGTTCAAAGTCCAATCGTTCTCTGTGGCACAGAAACATATAAACAGTGACATAATACCAGCACTGTCAATGTATCAAATACAATGTAAGAGATAAAACAGTATTGATCTTATTTAGCCATGTTTCCCCTCAGTGAGTTTTATTTTTTGTCTGTCATGTAGCTCCATCCAGTCCCTACATGCCTGACAGATCCTCTGTAGAGAGAAGAATCCAGGGAAATAGCAGAAATCTGTCCTGACATGCTTTGAACCAGCTGTCTGGGGTTGTATGTGTATGAAGAAATCTGCTGAGCACTGAAGAAAACATTGAGATGATGTGTTTATGTGACTAATCACCTGTATATGTGTGTGTTCTTCAGGTGCTGTCCCACAACCTGTACACAGTGCTGAACATCCCACACGACCCGGTGGCTCTGGAGGAACACTTCCAGGATGATGACGATGGGCCGGTGTCTAATCACGGCTACATGCCCTACCTCAACAAATATATACTGGATAAGGTAGCACTTATAAACAGAAATGTTTTATATGTTTTATTTTTTTCTGTGAATATATCTGTGCATTTATACATTTCCCGATATATATATATACATTTTCCAACCTGTTCTCCCTCCCATCACCCCATCCCTATCTCAGTTAAATAGTTGATAAATGGACAAAATTATCATACATTACATTTCATTTAGCGAATGCAATTATATAAAGTGACTTACAATTAGGTCAATCAACCATGAAATCATCATAATAATCAAATCAAATAAATAATCTAATCAAACAAATAAAGAACCTACATTGCCTCCATGTCTTGAGAAGTGCATTAGAGGTCACCTATTGTGCAAAATCCACTTTTATGTCTTTTAGTCATAAACATGTGTCTCCTCTGTGTTAAGATATTCGGAAGGTTTCAGGAACAAAGATTCTCTCTCTTTTTGTCCTGATCCATCTATATAGAAAACCTGTCCGAAAATCAGTTTATTAGATTTTGGCCACTTTGTGATGTCACAATGTTGTTTTGGGTTGTTAGCCAATAACCAACCAAGGTAACACCCGCCCACCTTATCACCTGAATCTCCTGCTAGACCACCATTATGTTTTTTTAAACAGAGGGGGCGTTCGAGTTGGGCATATCTTTTTCATTTAAAGCTACAGACACAGAATCAGCACTTTTAAAACAGGGCTGAAACAGAGGGGTTTATGGCATGCAGCAATGCGTGATCTGTTTGGTATTTCAAGCCAAACACTTATAGACCTATAATAGATTGTTGAAGAAGAGTCAATTAGGGGACCTTTCAAGGTTTCCACATTTCCTCAAAAACATTTTATATGCCTTATCTTTTCCATTGATATTGTGATGCATTTTCTTTGATCCACATTAGCATTCTTGGTCCACAGTTTTCCAATTAAGAGCAGTTAAACAAGTCTCTTTTCTGTGTTTTCAGGTCAAAGAGGGGATGTTCGACAAGGAGAAGTTTGACGACCTGTGCTGGATGATGACCATGAAGAAGAACTTCAGAGGGTTACCACAGGGGGCGATGCTATCGGAAAGAGACTGTTTCAAGCTCTTCTGTTTATTCAACCTGTTGTCTGAAGACCGCTACCCACTGGTGATGATACCTGAGGAGGTAAAGCTGTTGACGATGAAACAGGAATTTGTGGTAGGAGTCAACAGCAAGTGTGACTCAAGTCTATCATAATTATATTTTGGAGTTTTCACGCCTCCCAGTATAAAATGCATTTTGGCATTGTACAGCAAAAGAAAATAAATAAATAAAGTGCAGGAATTCCTTCCTTAACATTCATAAGGCAAATCAAGTTTCGCAAGGTAACATATAGCAAGGCACAACAATGGCTTTAAGGGAGTCGCATGAGCCTTTTTCAATGTGATCTCCTAACTGCTAGGTACATATTATGTTCCATATAAACCCTGCTAGTGGTCCAACAAAGTCGGAATGATTCACATTTTTTCACAGTAGAAAAAAGCAAGTGCAAGTTAGAAAGTTAATGAGTCTCTTCCTTCCGCCGCTTCCTCCATAAAGCTTTTGGTTTCCTGTCGACAGAGACAAAAATAAACTGCTTTTGTCTTATCAGCTCAGTAGCTTTCTTCTGTAAAAGTACATTTAGTCACAGAAATACATCGGTACGATATGTACAGGGATGTATTATGGATAGTGTAGGTAAAGAAGTATACACATGATAATTAAGAGCCCGGGTAAGGGGTGTAGGATTTTGAGGAGAAAAATGAATTTCCAAGAATTCAGTCAAAACTTGGATATTCTCTGAGATTAAAATGGTAAAGTTAGAATATACTCGGATTATAGGTCATACATGTGTCAGGAAAAACTCTCTGAGATTAAATTCACACATTTTTGAGAAAAATAAATGCAGTTTTTTCAGTCGACATCGCTTCACTTTGCAAGTTTGGACCAGCCTCAACACACCAAACGATTTCATTCTAATATTTGAATGCCTTTAGGTGGAGTATCTCCTCAAGAAAATCTCCACAGCTATGAGCCAGGAGTGGGACGGGAAGCCACTGCAGGACTTAATATCCCAGGATGCCCCGGTGCAGGAGAGTGACATGTCTGTATGGACCTTCCTGGAGCACATGGCTGCTGGCCGGCTGCTGAGGGTCACCAGCGCCGAGGCCTTCAGTCTGGCTCTGAACGAGGTCTTTCTTGAGATGTATCACAATGTTCTCAAAAGGGTGAGTATTTTCCTCCTTTTTCTGTTTGTCATCGAGCTCGTCAGTTTTGTGTTCCTAAAACTCCTTTGTTTTCCAGGGTTATATGTGGAAAAAGGGCCATGTACGCAGGAACTGGACTGAGCGCTGGTTTGTGCTGAAGCCCTCTTCCATGGCTTACTACGTCAGCGAGGCATTAAAAGACAAGAGAGGGGAGATCCAGCTGGATAAGAGCTGTGTCATAGAGGTGGGTGAGGAAATTTAGCGTAAACACTGTACGTTTCATTATGCAGTATCTTTGGATGTGTTCAGGCAAAGTCCTGAAATCCTTTAACCCTCAATCTGTCTCAGACTATTGCAGACAGGGAGGGGAAGCGCTGTTTGTTCTGTGTGAAGACTCACACTAAAACCTTTGAGATGAGCGCGTCCGACCAGAGACAGAAGGTGGAGTGGACTCAAGGTGTGTTGGTGTGTATAAGTGTTAGCAAACAGTCAGTCATTACATTTTGACTGCAGTGATTCATTGTGTGTGTGATCACTGGGGGCTCTAATTTATTCACTGGCTTTTTAAAGAACATTTTAGAGGAATAGTTTGGCATGTTGGGTGGTTAGATGAAAAGATTGATAACATTCCTATCCTGCTGTCTGAACTGTGCAGACATGAAAATTGTGTCCATGTTCTCATCTAACTGCAAGAAAGCGATTGTTTTCCCATATGTCACAGTTTTCTTTTATGTATATTTATATTTATTTATTTTAAGTGCTCACTGTGTTATGTGTTGGATCTATTGTCAAAGTTTAATTTGTGCATAGAAACACAAAAACAAATAAAAGACAGAATAAAATAAAAATACTTAATTAAAAGATGTACAGGAAACTTAAATATAGTAAAGAATAATATAAAAGACATCTAAAATAAAAAGATTAACAGGAAAAATAAATATAAAATAAATGGAAAAAATTAAATATATACAAATAATATTTAAAAGTGTACCATGCATCTTTATTAAAATAATGGGGGTCTTTTCTTTTTTCCCTTCCCCAGCTCTTCAGACAGCCCTCCGTCTCCAGAGCGAGGCGAAGGCCTCTCTTCACTTCGTGCTGAAGCTGAAGCGGCGGGTCCAGAGGGAACACAGCCACCGGGAGCGCAGCCGGAGCGCCCGGAGCAGCGGCAGCAGCCTGAGCAGCCTATCAGACGACTCCAACATCCAGGACATGGAGAAGATGGAGAAAGACAAAGACAGACAGGATTTAGAAATAGAAAGTATCATACAGGTGAGAATGGAGGAATTACTTATTGGTGGAAAAAGTAGAAGTACCAGAATGTAGGAATACTCTGTTACAAGTAAAAGTCCTCTATTCAAAATGTTACCCAAGTAAAAGTACAAAGGTATTAGCATCTGAATATAACTAAAGTACCAAAACATTTGTTTTACTCTTTATGCAGATTGGCCGATTTCATACATGTTTTGATTATAATTATTGATGCATTAATGTGTATATCAAGCTGGTAAAAGTGCAGCTAGTTTTAATTATTTAATTCATTTCAGGGTAGCATGCAAATGTAATCTAAACTAAAGTCTTATTTAAAGGTGGGGTATGTAATTTATTTCAGAAACACTTTTTGTTATATTCCATGGAATGCTCTTAACATCCCGATAGCAATGAATATATTAAATGCTTTGACAATAAATACATAAAAAAAATTCATCTGTGGAAGCCGTAGCGCTGTAAAAAGCACGACCAATCATTTTAGCTGGCCCGGCTAAAATAACTGGATGGCCTACCTGCCTGTCAGCCTTCCTTCTGTGCACAAACTTATCTCGTGCCCTCATTGGTCATGTGCGCGTTCGTGTGTGTTGGAGGAGGGGCTCTGTAAGAAAGTCTGAAGGAAGAGGCAGATTTTTCCCGGTTGTGTACTTTCAAATTCTAGCGCACTCGAGCTGGTTTCTCCAAAATTACATACCCCACCTTTAAGTGTTGATTATATTGTTTAACATTAATCCGAAATTGCAAAGCAACTAAAGGTATAAAATAAATGTAGTGGAGTAACACAATTCCCCTCTGAATTGTAGTGGGGTAGAAGTTCAAAGTAGCAAATACTCAAGTACCTCAGAATTGTACTTTAGTATAGTACTTTAATATATATACTTAGTTACTTTACGCAACTGGGGGACGATAACTCATAGCTTTGTTTGAACCTTTAACTTTATCTGTGTCTTGCAGCATGCGCGTGAATTAGAAACCAAACGAAGGGAGGCAGAGGAAAAAGAGAGGAGGAAACAGAAGGAGGTGCAGATGGAGCTGGAGAGACAGCTGAAGGAGGCCGAGTCGGTGAGAGAAAGTTTTCCAGATGTCAACGTTTATTTATGATTCGCTGAATTCAGAGTTCCAAAACATTGGCGGTGTAAATGTCAGGCTTAACCTTCAGCGAGTTTATGTGGTGAGATTCATGGAAAAGGTGAATCAGGAAAAGGTCAGTTATTTCCGCTCAATGTGTGTGTGTGTGTGTGTGTGTGTGTGTGTGTGTGTGTGTGTGTGTGTGTGTGTGTGTGTGTGTGTGTGTGTGTGTGTGTGTGTGTGTGTGTGTGTGTGTGTGTGGTGTGTGTGTGTGTGTGTGTGTGTGTGTGTGTGTGTGTGGTGTGTGTGTGTGTGTGTGTGTGTGTGTGTGTGTGTGTGTGTGTGTGTGTGTGTGTGTGTGTGTGTGTGTGTGTGTGTGTGTGTGTGTGTGTGTGTGTGTGTGTGTGTGTGTGTGTGTGTGTCCTAGCTGAGAGAAAGCATGCAGGCAGAGATGCAGGAGAAGGAAAAGGAGGCTGAGCAACAGAAGAAGAGGATCCAGGAGTTGGAGCTGACTCAGCAGAAACTGGAGTCTGCTCTCAACATGGAGATCCACGCCCGGCTGGAGGAGGAGAGGGCCAGACAGGAACTGGAGAGGTGATCAACAAACACCAACTGTATTCCTATTATAGCCTTCTCTAAACCAGAGGTTTTCAAAGTCCCACACTGCATTTTCACACAGGGAAAAGTAGGAACCAATAAAGGAGAGTGTCACATAAGCACCATGTTGATTAGACATTATGAACCTTTCTAATGCAACTAAATATTTAAGTTCAACATGAAGACATACTGTTAGAAGTTCCTATTATTTGTAATTCTTCTCTTAAGTTTAATGACTTCTTCCCATAAAGCTTTGGGGATTATAAACAGGAAGTATAATGCTGCCGGGGAATAAAGTAGCAGTGTTAAAACACATCCTATATTTGTTTTCATACAGTATTCAAGGTACGCCGAATGAGCTATTAGTAGTCCTTGAATGTGAAGGGTCCATGGATTTAGTGACAAATATTTCTGGATTACTTTAATCCTAAAGTTTACGGGAAAACGTAAGAATGTAAAAAGTCTCAGACAGGTTCTGTAGGTATGTGGAGCCACTGTTTTCTATGCTTTCTGGCTGCATTTAAGGATATTTTTTTGCAACTGGATAATGATATCCCCATAAGATAGAAGTCTCACTGAAACTTAAAAACATGCGTATGACTCAGTCTTAACACCTATATCCTTACCAGCCAAACGTATCAGACATGAGAGGTTACTTGATTTCAGTTGGGTTCTTCTCTTTTCCAGGGTGCTGCGGGAAGAAGAAGAGAAGAAGAAGCAGTTCCAGCTCCTGCAGGAGCAGCAGAGGGCCTTGAAGTGCCTCAGCCCCATACAGGAGGCCTCAGACGGCAGTCCGGACGAGGACACCCCCTCAGCTCTGCACTCCGCCTCTCAGGAGCTCCAGCATCTGCAGGCTTCTCGCCAGAGGAGCCACCAGCGCCTGGAGGTAAGAAAGAGTGGGAGCTCAATGTGCAGCATGTTTAAAACTATAAAAAAAGCATGCATTATAAACTACTTTTTGTGATTTTCCTATTCCAGGAGGTACAAGAGAAGCTGAGATATGCCAGTCAACATGTAAAACACTGGAACGTCCAGCTGAACCGCCTCATGACACCCATCAGTCCCGGAGGTAAAACACCAACCTTGATTGAAACTGTTATCACGTTTATGAGATTTTCAAACTCATCGAAAGGGCGCTTGAAATATATCCTACTTTTGACCTAAATGACCAATTTATCTGTTATGAAAATGTTTTTTGTTTTTGTTTCGTAGGACGTACGGATAATCGCAATTTATCAAAAAGCATGTGTCCAAAAAAGGAAGGAGCATTGGCCAGTAATGAGTTCATCTCTAAATACAAGATGAGGGCCGATCAGAACAGAAAGATGCCTGAAGGCAGCGAGATGCTGGAGGAGCAGCTGGAGGCCGCCCACCTGTCAGATTAAACATCTGGATAAGACCGAGAGTGGAGACTGGAAGGAGAAAAGCTATTTATAATACAAGAAAATAATCTGCATAAGCATTGTATTTTATTTACATTTTTAAAACGCACACTAAAATGGAGAACAATAATGACACAACATGTGATGATACAGGATTTAATACAACACAATTGACTCACTTGCGAAATACGGTTTTGTACAATAAAGTTTTGATGAAAAAAACCATTTTGTTAACTCTTTCATTTTCATGAGAAACACATTTTAATTCATACAATCGCTCTAAGATATCTTTATTCAAATTAAACTGCCTGAAAATGATTTTAATTAAATAAAAGTGTCTCTTTTCTGTCTCTGTTTCTGTATATTTAGGTTTTTGAACGCAGATTGAAAAGGTTTTACCTTGTTGGTTGTCTGAATACTGTAGTAACAGTAAATTATTTGTAAACACATCTTTATTTTCAGTCAAGTACTTAGTCCAGCAAAGGGCTAAACAGTGGAATTATAGCAGGATACTCTTATCATCAGAGAGTAGATTATCACACATATTTTGGTATTGGTGTGTATGTGTAATATAAATGTATCATATAGTTCACCTTTTTTCTCACAAAGATGTTTATTGACGGGAAGATAATAGAAAGTCAGTGTAAATGTTTTTAGAATATAAAGTCGTGACATATTATGACCTGAAGGTGTCGCTGTATGATGAAAGAACATAGAGATGAACCGGAAGAAGAACAAATCAACCTTGTGACGTCAATTAAGATGGCGGCCCTCAGGACTGTGCCATGTTGACTGTTCGGAATAAACTTAATAGTTCTTGCTAAATAAATTATAGATTTCCAGACAGAGTATGGGTCTTTCTTAACCTGTGAGGACATAATCAGGTGACGCCATGCTGGCTTCAGTGGGTGTCCGGCTGTCAGCAGCCTCCAGAGGGAAGGTCAGTCTGGTGTCTGTGAGCAGGAGACTCTGCACCAAACACCCCGAAACCCAGGCTTCTCTCCCGGATCCTCTCCCGGACAGCGAGCCACCGGAGCAGCGGAGACCCAAGAAGGACCCCGCCGAGTGCTCCGTGCTCCTCTTCCCCGGCCAGGGCAGCCAGTTTGTGGGCATGGGTAGAGGACTCCTGCAGTACCCTAACGTTAAGGAAATGTTCACGGTGGCCCAGAAGATCCTCGGGTACGACCTGCTGTCTCTGTGCCTGCACGGCCCCAAGGAGGAGCTGCAGAGGACGGTGCACTGTCAGCCCGCCGTGTTCGTCACCTCGCTGGCTGCGGTGGAGAGGCTCAACCACGAGAACCCCAAGGTGCCTGTCCGATTAGTCGAATAACATAAAAATCCATTGACCAGCAGTATAAGCAGAAATACTACAGAGTCAAATGTAAATATATACAATATAAGTACTATGTATGCAGAATGCCCCATTTTAAAACCATATGTATAACAGGATTATATGAATGCAATAGTGCTAATCACTTTAATGCTGCAGCTTGTAAAAGTGGGCATTTCTTATCATACCACTAAAATGTATATTCTTTGAAATGTTCTGAAAAAGTAATCTTATAGGGTGCACAATAAATGATTAGAGTAAAGGTATACTGTATCATAACATATAATTAATCAAGTAAAGTAGAATTATATCAAAATTGTACTTCTGTTCCATACTTGAATATATACTTGGTTATTTTCCATAACTGCTAGTGCTATCATATGAGGGAAAATGCCACAAAAAAAAAGATTTGCCTCTGAAACGTAGAGAAGCGGTGGAGATAATGGTCAACTCAATATGCTGTTGAGTAATTTAATTTATAACAATACATATTATTTAATTGATTTAAGTAACTTCTGACACTTTTGTCCACAGGCCATTGAGATGTGTGTCGCTGCTGCAGGTTTTAGTGTTGGAGAATTTGCTGCTCTGGTTTTTTCTGGAGCCATGAACTTTGCAGAAGGTAAGTTTGTTTCCTAACTTGCACACGACAAATACTATGTTGCTCAGTTAAAAAATGAATATGTTTTCAGTGTTTCCCACAGAATTTGATTCTATTTGTGGGGGCACTGTGCCCGCCACAAATAAATCAATGTATGGGAAACACTGGTTTTATATTAACCCATTCTGTGTCCTATAGCTCTGTATGTGGTGAAGGTTCGTGCAGAGGCCATGCAGAGAGCATCAGAGCTGGTTCCCAGTGGGATGCTGTCCGTTGTTGGTAGACCTCAGGCTCAGTATAAACACTCCTGTCTGCAGGCTAAAGAGCACTGCAAGAGCCTGGGGATCGAGGAGCCCGTCTGCTCTGTGGCCAACTACCTGTTCCCCGATGGCAGGGTCATCGCAGGGCACCAGCAGGTATGGAGCATTATGGCAGCCATCCAAAATATAGCTATTAACAGATGAGACAACTTTTACCACAAATCCTTGTTGTTTTATCTAAAGTACAGTTATATTTGTTTGTGTACAAGTGTGATTAGATGAGCTTACAATTTACAGGCTCTGAATTTATTTCACCATAACTGTATTCTCTCCTCAGGCTCTGGATTTCCTGCAGCAAAACTCTCGACATCTCCAGTTCGTGAGGACCAAACCCCTCCCGGTCAGCGGGGCCTTCCACACGGAGCTGATGGAGTCGGCTACTGAACCGCTCAGAGAGGTGCTCAGACAGGTGGAGGTTAGTCACAGGTTTTATTAAGCCACATCTTAATCATGTTATTAATGTACTTGAAGTTCATGTTGCCTAGTTTTTTCATAGTGAAACCGTATTCAAAGTGTATGGTCAAAAAATATATTGTGGCACCCATGACCCACCCTCAAGTCACCCACTTATAGAAGAGCTGCTCCAAAATTACAAACCTCATATAGTTTTAAATGAAAACTTCATCAACATAAACCATTTACAAAATGTAAAAAATAAATGTGTTAAAATTACTTGTGTGGTGGTTCCCAACTTCCCATTAAAAATTAATATTTAATATATAAAAATAATATTAATTATTTTCATCATTCCATGTCATGTGATCATTTGTAACCTCATCATTAGCCAATTTGTTCGCCGACACTCTTAATTTAGTAGCTCACCTTTTCATCTAACATCTATATTTCTCTCCCGTTCAGGTCCGTCGTCCCGACATCAACGTGTACTCTAACGTGGACGGAAAGCGCTACATGAGCAAGCAACACGTGCGCCGGCAGCTGGTGACGCAGGTGGTGTCGCCGGTGAAGTGGGAGCAAACGCTGCACGAGATCTACGAGAGGACGCACGGAAGAAAGTTCCCTTACACCTACGAGGTCGGCCCGGGAAATCAGCTCGGTGCCACACTACAGAGGTGTAACATGAAGGCCTTCAAAACGTATGAACATGTGGACGTCACCATTCATGAAGAAGACTAAATATGAAGAGGTGTGCAGGTCAAAAAATGTGCGCGTGTGTGTGGACACCAACAGAAAGACCTGTAAGCTCCTGTGGTTTCTTCGTATGGTCTTGTAAGTGTATTATCATTATGTAATTAAATATTTTTTATTATTGAAATTGCAAAATGTCATCATTTAGAAGTTTATTTGCATCACATGAAAAAGCATGTTCAAATCTGACACAGAAAGTCCAGCTCCCTTCATTTTATATTAAGCCGGGCTACTTATAATTTGTAAAAAATGTGGCCTCTTAAACCCGTAAGAACAAATCTGGATAAAGACTGCAGGCCAGCAACAGTACATTCATGGGTAAAATATTTGTTTTTACATTAATACATCTGTGAAACATGTCACTGCTACAATACACTGGCCATCTCTTCGGGCAACACTGTAAAACCAATTTAAACTAATTTAACTCTTTTTTTTACTGCTGTTTCTGGTCATATAATTTTAAATGCAATACAATCAAAATAGTATACAAAAAAAGAGAATTCAAAGTAAACAGCAGAAACAAATCAGTAAGTAATAATAGTGATTCATTTGCAAACTTTTTTTGTCAAAGATATAACGGCCCAAAAGACCTGCTTATGGCCCTTTTTTTAGGCTTTTTATTCCTTCCACATTGCAGTGAAAATGGCGACTGCAGCCACCAGCGCCACCGTCCCCAGTGCTCCTCTGGTCCAGCCAGCGCAGGCTACTGGTTTTAAATTGGACACCTGTGAAAAGACAGAAAATTAAATGATACTATTATTTGGATAATTTGGCCCCAAGTTTCAAATAGCATTGCGATAAGACATTTTGAATGTGAAGGGAAAAATGTGCATGCATATCAATTATGTTTTGTATGGGGTTAGTTCAGAGTTTTAAAGGTTTGGTCAATATTGGACATTTTTTATATTTTATACCTTAATATTGCTTAAATTGTAGTCTTAAAACACCATACAAACCCTGATTTTGTGCAATTAGAAAAGGTCACTTGAGACAGATAAAATACGACAGAATAAGTTTTACCCAGGCTGCCCAGGCGTCCGCTCTGAGGATCCCCTGCCCAGGCGCAGTGCTCTCTATCCAGGCCTTCACCCCTGCAGACAGGCCCTGTAAGCCCCACAACTGCCTGTGGATATCCCTGGAAGAGAAAAACACCAATGTTTTATCAGCCAGTCACTTAACTGTTGAGGTGGAGTAGATGTTCTTTGTAACAGATGTTATACCGGTATATGGTCCTGGTCAGGGCCTGCGCAGGTCTCAGCATGTGGAGAGGAGGGGGGAGCCAGGGGGTCCGTCTGCCGGCCCACTCCCGGTCCATCTGGTCTCCAATCGCAGCCAACTGGCTCCCAAAGGCCCGCACAGCCCTGTCATTTATCCTGCAGGGTAACCACAATCACTCTGATTCAGTTATGTTCACAATGTTACCGTTCTCACACACACTTTGAGAAAAAAGTAGTAGCATGTACCACATTTTGGGGGATTTTTTCATATAAATTAGATGTTAAAACAAAACCCAATTTCTTTAAAGTTGCTGCCAGTAAAGGAGAAGCTTTATTTTCTTTATATAATGCTGAGCTTGTGAATATCACCAAGGGATCAATATCTGATTTTATAAACTTGGTTGATTATATATTATTCCTATTTATTGTATAATCTTAAAAGTAGCTAGATGGATCAAATAAAAGTAGTCAGTACAATATTTGGCTCTTTATTAGAGTGTAGTATATACTACAAGTAAGTATATGAGTATAAAATAGAAGAAAATGTAAATACTCGAGTTAAATACAAAATCCCAAATCAAACTTAGGGACAGTACTTAAATAAATGTAATTGTTGACCATCATTCAACCACTGTTTTTATACAGTTTTTGTTTATTTTTGGTACAATTGATCCCACTTGATGTCTGTCTGAGCATTATTGTTGTTGTTTTTCTCACTAATTTGGGGAATGGTCTAATACCTGAGGTTCACGTCTAGCAGGACGTCAGTGTCCCCTTCCCCAGGTCCAGCCTGCAGGGACACCACGCGCCTCGGCTGTCTAGTTTGCTCCACCATCTTGTTTTCTGCAAAGAGAAACCGGTTTTATTCAAATGATTCATATCAGCATATGTAAGAGAGAGTTCCTAGAGCTTCATCAGCCATGCAGATGAGGTAATGGCTCCATGGTGAAAAAAAGTGTTTTGCTGCTCGACTCCCAACGTTCATAAACAGGCTGTGTAAATACTGGCTCATGTGACCCGGATAGGTGGTGGATGTGTTATTGGAGACAAAACCAGGTAGACAAAACAGGCTCTTCCAGATCTGAAGAGATGACCTCATCTGCTGGATGGTTGTAGCCTACATACTACTGTATACATCAACACAAGTGTGAATATTTAGAACTAGTTTATGCAATGTGTATCTAATCTAGCTTTATTACTGGTTTTATGACTTGTTATTTTCCCCAAAAGATCAGGTGTGTTCCCTGTCCTCAGAGCACTTCCTGTTCCCACCTGCACTCATGTGCCTTCAATGCAAATGAGGCATTTACATAACTCAAATCAACCAAACTGCCTTACCAAGAAGAAATACAAAATGTCTTGGTTTTAGATTTTTCAGTAGTTTTCTTATTACCTAAGAAAAAAAAATACCCTATGCGAAAATATGCACTTATCTTTACAGTTAATGCTAATTTGACGACAATAATACCATCAAAAATATAGTCCTGAGCTATGATTTTAAAAGTTAAGGAACCTATAATGATATAATAATAGCTTTAGATCTAACATAAAATACCCAGACGACAGTTTGGAGTTTTAATTGTGTAAGAGCCTATAATCATTTGCCATATTGTCATAACAAAGAGATTAAATCATCCTTCTTACCCAAAGCAAACAAAGGTCGTTTTGAAGATCACACGCATTAAATACACATTAATCCCACAGATATAAAATCATTTGAAATGATTTACAAATTAACTAGGGTATTGTATGATGTTGGATTAGTGTCATTATATATTAAACGGATATAAATGCTCCAGACAGAAGGCCAGGTGAAGGCACAATAAAAAAGAAAAAGAAACTAAAACCTACCTTGTGTGTAGATTAAAGTAGACGCCGCCCTGTAATAGATATAAAGACATAATAGTTTAAATGTTAGGTAGGTAATGAAATTAATAAATATTCGTAAAGTGTTTTTCCTGTACTTACAGCAGCGTCCTTTAATCTTGTTGTTCTCAGGTAACTGCCACAATGTGACTAACCACGCCTTTACCTGCTGCTGCAAACACTGACCGCCAGGGGGCGACAGATGAGCACCACGTCATTGTAAGACAGACAGATACAAGTGGAAAACAGTTGTATGTGAATCCACCTCATATATAAAATACAACTAGGTTCATAGTTGACATACAATTTAAAATAATATTCTTTCCACATACATGTTACGATTAAATCAGTCATGTAAGGTCTAAAATATGCAAATATTCAATATAGTTCACTGTCAGCCAAATAAAACTGTACATGTACTCAACTCTATGAATTATTTTAGCAAATAAAACCACATTTGTACTAAAAAAATATATCATGATGATGTCCATACAATATTTAAGTTGTTATATTTTATAATAGTTGCTTATGGTGCATGTTCCAATGAAATAAAAACAAGGGGGATACAGAATGACATCCAAAATATCTCTACCTTCTACTTTTTAAGCAACATTTAGAATGCAACACAGACCTCGAATATCTCTGCTATATAAAAATGTAAAACATGTGCAGTATTTATATCACTCCGTAAAGCACATTGCATTGCACTGGTGTATAGAATGTGCTGTACAGATGCCTTGCCTTAAAATATTGATGGTATTTTGAACACTGTGAGTGTGTACCAAAAACCTATAAACACAGTTAGTAACATAAATGTCACCCTTGTTCAACATCTTAGTGATTAATTTGGACGGTGTGTAATATATTTACAGAATGTATTCACAATGATTTTCGGTAAACATCAGGCTGTTTAATGCATTTCATACACTGCCCCCTGCTGGTACACTGTGGTGATGACATCTTGCAATGACACCACTGCGTCCTCGGTTGCTAGGTTATTTATTCTCCCGGAAGGACCAAGCCCATACCGACGTCGTTTAACATTTTGGAGAAATTCTCCTTTAAAAAACTCTTTAAATATAATTAAATCTTAATGTAAGCTTAACGCATATATTATTACGTTATAATACTTTTATTGTGAAGTGACCGAGGTGGGCGTCGCTGTGTACATCTTGACAACACCACACCGCCCGGGACTAATACATGTACCGTTAGCCTGTTAGCTTTAAAACCTCATGGAAGCTGTTATTACTGTTAGCTTGTGCTATTAGCAGTGTTGACAACGTGTCTCTGTTTGTCGCTATGAGTTTAGCTAGCTAACGACAGTGTGGTGAGATTGCATCACCGTGCTGGTGATGCTCTGCAGCAGTGCTGGGTGTTTCCAGCCGCCTGCTAACAGAGACTGCCCGGCTAGCTGCTGCTGATGACTCGCTGTTTCCTGACATTTGTCTGCAGGTAGGTGACTGCTGTGCTGCACGCTAGCTGCATGCTTTCTCCTGGGCTCTGTCTCTGTAATATCTGTGCATTGAAGTGCCGTAAAGTAACTAAGAAGATGTACTCAAATGCTGTACTTAATTACAATTGTGAGGTACTTGAGTTACTCTACTTGAGTATTTGATGTGGTTGTTACTTTGTAATTCTACTCCACTACAATTCAGAGATTAATTGTGTACTTTTACTCCACTACATTTATTTTGTGCCTTTATTTACTTGGCAATTTTGGATTAATGATACAAATATATCACTTAAATAATACTTTAGTTACACCTGGACTAAATTCACAAGCTACCCTGCAGTATACAAAGTCATTAAAACTAGCTGCACCTTTACCAGCTTTAATAACACTTGAATGCATCAATAATTATAATAAAAACATGTTATTTATATTAAGCTGAAATGGTCCAATCTGCATAATGAGTACTTTTACTTTTGGTACTTTAAGTATATGTTGATTCTAATCCTTTTGTACTTTTACTTGAGTAACATTTTGATTGCAGGACTTTTACTTGTTACAGAGTATTCCTATACTCTGGTACTTCTACTTTTACTTAAAGGTCCCATGTCATGCTTTTCCGGTTATTACCCGTCCCCTTGTGTGTTATGAAGGTTTTTCTGCACGTAAACGGTCTGCAATGTCACAAACCCTCAAAGTACACCCTGTAGCGAGTAAAACTCTAACACAGAAAAGACCTGTCTATGCTGCCCCAGAACGCCTCGTTGGAGATTTCTCTTTTTCTTCCTGGGTACAGTGACGTGACCATACCCAAATGGGCAGGAGCTCCAACAAGCCGTTTAGGACAGAGAGTGAATACACATACTATACAGAGATGCTGTATGTGAAACCAATGTGAGTTTGGAAAATTGCACAATATAAATCTATTCTAGTAGACCTCAACAATGGAATTATGATCAGTAGAAATGGCCATGACATGGGACCTGTAAAGGGGACCTATCATGCAAAATGCACTTTTGTACGTCTTTTATACATGAATATGTGTCCCCGGTGTTCCAGGGAACTCACCAAGTGTCAGAAAACACAACCCTCTCTATTTTCCTCCATACCCAAATCTCTAAAAAAGGGGCTTGAACGGATCTGATCAAAACTGATCCAGATTTGAACACTGTCCTGACGTCAGGACAGTGGCGCTACGGCTATTGGGCCAACTCCACCAATCAGGAGGAGACAGCCACGGCCATTGCCGTTCGAAAGCGCTGGAGACGCTGTAGTACATATGCCAGGCCTGTAGGTGGTGCTGTTCTCACAGAATCAGCCCTTGCAAAAACAGAGCTAAAAAAGTGCAAATTGAGCGAAATGAGACATGGCTAAAATGCATGATCTGTTTGGTATTTTGAAAAAAAAAAAGTATAAATATGCCTTATATAGGTATGGTCCTACACTATATCATTCAAATATAGCATGAAAGGTCCACTTTAAGTAAAATATCTGAGTACCTTTTCCACCTCTGGTGCATTGTATTATCCTATCTGTTTACCTGTGTTGTGCTCCACCCCAGAGGGAGGCACCATGGCCGGTAAGGTGAAGTGGGTGACGGATATTGAGAAATCAGTGCTCATCAACAACTTCGAGAAGAGGGATTGGATTCATGTCACCGAAAACGATGACTGGAATTTCTATTGGTAAGTTGACACCTTATACACATTACACCTGACTCTTTAGACATTGGATTATACACTCTCCGAGCAACATATATGCAGTAGTGAAAAAGTACATAAGATTTCTCAGTAAAAGTACCAATATAACTATGTTAAATAGAGGGAAAGGTACTGGATTCAAATCACTCCTGGGAATAAGATAGGGGTAAATGGTCTTGTCATTTAAAAAAAAATGTTTATTCCTGTACTTGTAAGATAGATCAAATAAACAAGTAATTAACAAGAAGTGGTGAGGTATCATTTTTATATTATTGTTTATTGTATTTATGTATAATGTCTGTTTAATTGTCTTCCTCTCCCTTTCATCCTGTTGTCTTAATGTATATTCAGTTTAGTATTCAAAGTTTTTCACATGTTTTATATGTACAATATAAATCTGGAAAGTAACTAGTGACCAGTGGTGGAGAGCAACTTAGTACATGTACGTAATGCGTTGAGTACAATTTTGAGGTCCTTAAAAGGTAATTCAAATACTATACTCTTGCTTCACTTTGAATATTCCATTTCAGATAAATAATACAAAATATATGAAATCAACAAATACTTTGTCATGTGCTTTATATAGATACAATTGTATAAATCCCTTGGTAGACTTCACAGGCTACAAAGCAGTACATCCGTTGCCCCCTGCAACATCAAAGTGATGTAAAATCTTTGTAATATAACGTATATTATTCTGAAATTGGCCATCGTGTAACATGAGTACATAATGCTACATTTGCATAATCTACTCTGTACTCGGTCACTCTCACTTGCTTCAAATAGACTGCATGTTGATCCTATTTATGTCAATAATGAGTTATAATTACATCACCAAGCTTATTACTAGGCCCCTGTCTCTTCAGATAACCATAACTCAGGTTTATTTGTTCCCACATGTAGGATGAGCATCCAGACCATCAGAAATGTGTTCAGCGTGGACACCGGCTACCGCCTGACCGATGAGCAGATGGTTAACCACTTCCCCAACCACTACGAGCTGACCAGGAAGGACCTGATGATCAAGAACATCAAACGCTACCGCAAGGATCTGGAGAAGGAAAGCAGTCCGCTGGCAGAGAAGGACGAGAACGGGAAATACACTTATTTAGGTGTCCATTTAACGTTGATGGGAGGGATCAGGGTAGAAATACACACTTTTTTCCTCACAAAGATAATATTCTTAACTATTTCCTCTATTTCTTGCGCAGATTTTGTCCCTGTGACGTTCATGCTCCCGGCCGATTATAATCTCTTTGTGGAGGAGTACCGAAAGAACCCGTCCAGCACGTGGATCATGAAACCCTGCGGGAAGGCTCAGGGCAAAGGCATCTTCCTCATCAACAAACTGTCCCAGATCAAAAAATGGTCCAGAGACAGCCGCACCTCCACGTGAGTTACCCAAGATATCGTTGTCACACTTCCTGTGAGACTCTTTACATAGATGTGCTTGGTGCCAAGTATTCTCATTTATTACACTTACTCTTTTAGTAAAAATGATCCCAAAGAGCACCTGTTCTGTCCTGTTGTCAACTCAATCCGTGAAAAATTGTTGTTTTGGTAAACTGCTTAAGAGTACCACCAGATGTCACCCCTGCAGCACTCTATACGGTCTCTTTAGTGAAATATGTTTGCTGCTATTCCACGACATGTCCTGAATTAATTAATGAATTTAATGAGAATTTGCCATCAGGTTTGTAGCTGCAAACAGTGGCAAGGAGGCCTACGTCATCTCCCTGTATATTGACAACCCTCTGCTGATCGGAGGGAAGAAGTTTGACCTGCGCCTCTACGTTCTGGTGACCACATATCGACCTCTGAAATGCTACATGTAAGCCCTGAGTTTATGTTTCTTTTATGTTTAGAAGTAATCAATTATTATATACCTGTAAACAGCTGATATGTTCTATTGCTATTGCATTGCTAGACCACAGCTTGGGACCCTGACTACTTCCTGTCAGCTCATCATGTCACTTATTTACACTGCAACAGGAAATAAATTGGGTCATGTTGAGAACTGTATCTT